CCCCCCGGCCCCCCCCGCCAAACCGGGGCCCCCCCCTCTCCCGCAGGCCGCTCGCCTCGATCAGCTCCCCCGCCCTGCACGTCGACGCGCGCAAGCGGACAAAGGGCGAGCGGCCAGGCTCGAACTCGAGCGACGTCCGGCTGATGACGCGCAAGGCGCGCCGCCGAGGCCAATCTCGGCCGATCTCGGCCAATCTCTGCTCATCTCGTCCTCTGCTTTGCGCGGCCAGGCGCGCGGGCTCGGCAGGGGAGGCGGCGGCGGCGGGCGAGCGTGAGGGTCAGCGCTGAGGCGATGGAGGGGCAGCGGATCACGACGCCCCTCTCTCCTCCCCTCACCCCCCTCCCCGAGCCCTCCACCCTGGAGGGCGGGGGGTGGCCGGGCCGTGTCCGCACAGTGGATACGAGGCGATGGAGGGGCAGCGGATCATCGACGCCCCTCTCTCCTCCCGCCCGCCCACCCCCCGACGATACGTTGGCGCACTTGATGGCGCAGAGTCTTCCTGCGTTGTGGGCGTGAGGCGTTGTATGCGGGTTGCGGCGGGGTGCGCTGTCGTCCGAGATCGCGCGTGCCGCGTGCGCGCGTCGGTCTCAGAGCGCGGCGCCGGCGGGGGGCGCGCGCTCTCGAGCCAGGGAATCCAGCGGGCGCCAGGGACCGCACGAGGGACCGGCGCCGCATGGGACCGGCTTTTTTGTCTACTTTGAAATGTTATCAAGCGAGTATTTGGCTTTTGGGTGGGGCGGTGGCGCGTGGACATGGTCGAGACGCGCAGACCGACGATCCTCTGGAACGTCTCTCTCATCCTCATCCTCACTGAGCTTAGTCTGAGGGTATCCTAAAAGTTCGGCCGGTTTGGGTCAAAACGCTAAAAGCACTGCTAGCAGTTGATTTGGGGCAAAACGACAAAAGTGGGCCCGCCCAGGGCAAAATGGTAAAAGTCGCGCGCCGCAGGCGCGCGGCGAAAATTTTGGACATTCTACTGGCTCCGTCGGCGCCCGCGGCGCTCTCCAAATACTCGCTCACTATAGCGGCGTGCAGCCGGCGGCGCAGCCGCACCTTTGTTGCCTGAGAGGGCCTCGGCACGCTCGCCCAGCTCCTCCTTGAGCTCCACCACCTTCATCGCCACCAGCTCCTCTCTTCCCGTGAACTCGCCTCCCGCGCTAGCATTGTAGTGCGAGAGTGGTTCAGCTGCATTGCACGCTCTGCACCAACCTCTCGCGCTCGGTCGCCTCGCTATAACGAGCCAGTGCTATCTGCGCAGCCAGTAGGGCGTTGTTTTTGAGCCGATTTTGCCTCCACTGATTGCACCGCGCCGCACTGTGCTTTCGTGCAGCCGGGTTGACGCTTTAGGTTTAGCCAAAGTGACCCATCGCACATGACGACCGCCCACCGCTTGTGCAAGCGCGATCACTCGCTGCTGCACTGGCTGCTGCTGTTGCACTGGTTGCTGCTGTTGCGCACTGGCTGCTGCTGCACCTGACCCAGCGCGTGTGAAGGCACTTGCCAAGGCTGCGGCCGGAGCGGTGTAGGCGGACAACGATGCGGGATGCGGCGGTGACGCGAGACGCTACCGTCGGACGAGGGGTTGCTATCATACGCAACGCAAGCACGAGCGGTCGGTGACGCGACGGCGTCATCACCGTTGCCCAGGCGGCAAGTGTGTTGTGGAGGGACGCGTCCTTACAAACTTGTAGCGCTACAAGTTTGGTCACACACCGGCGGGCGCTTTCGAGGCGAGCGGCAGCATTTTTCTAGCCATAGTGTGCGGGAACTACTTTGCTACTACTAGCTACCCGGCCACGCAGCGCGCCGAAGATTTTTTTTAGAAAATGCTAAAAGCAGGCGCTCCGAAACGACCAAAGTACTGACCGCTTCCTCGAGCCAATGGGCCTCACCGGCCGAGTCTTCATCAGCGATTCGGGGATGGAAGTGCCTGCGTTTGTCTCCGACAACCTCGCTAGCCTGCATACCAGCCGCAACCTGTACTTTGAGGGCGCCGACCCATCCTGCGACTACAGCACCGGCGCCGTCTGGGTGAGCGACTGCCCCTCCGAGTGGACGAACCTCTTCTTATCGGCCAGCTCGAGTTCGGTCAAGTACCACACTTGGGGCACATCTGGCGGCTCAATGTCCCTCCCTGACTACGCCAAGTTTCTCGAGGTGATCGCAACCAAGGGCATGTACAAGGGCAAGCGTATCATTGGCATGGCTGCCATTATGGCCTCCATGCAGGCCGTCACGCCTACCGATGAGAATTTCCCCCTTTTCACGTCCAGTTTCATCGGTTACTTCGCAAACGAGCACGTGTGGACCGGACTTGGTGCGGCAAAGGCCTTGGCCGACAGCCCTACTGGCCACTTGTACCCCGACATCGGGGGATGCAGCTATCAGTGGCTTGGCGCCTTGGGCACGTCGTGGCGCGTCAACATCTGCTCTGGCTTCTACATGGTTGTGGGTCAGAACGCATATGGGTTTGCTGAGATTGACTCCACGATGCGCAACTCCTATATCGGGATGAACGCCCCTGCCGGTGGGGGAACGCCGTGGATGGCGAAGCTCGTTTGAACGGGGCGCGCACGGACCCCGGGGCGCCTTGCCTGAGCTCCGATCGGCATGAGTTTGCTCCGGCAGCTGGCTGTTTGCCTTTGTTGGGCGGACAGGCGGCGATCGCGCGACCTGCTCTGCTCTCTGATGGGCAGAGCGCGGCCGGGTTGTGCAGAGGGGGGGCGGGGGGGGGGGGGGGGCGCGTGGAGGGGTGGCAGGAGGGACGAGTATGGCGCGAGGCTTTGGCGAATTTGTAGAATACCAATCTAAATGGTCGTCACGACCAACAATAGAAGAGGGGGAATGCCAAAGGTCTGACAGACGGGGAGACCCCTGGGCGCGGCCCCTTGGTGTCAGGGCTCAGTGCGGGACAGGGGGGG